TTTGATTTGAAAACACACACACTTTTAATTTGGTAGATGCAAAGCAGAAATATCCACGTTTTTACAGAAGATGGAACCAGGCAGATGTTGTTTTTACATTTTATTATATTGTATGTGTGTCATATTGTAAACATTATTTCTGTCTGGTGATGATTTTGTGTAAAATGTTTCAAAACTTTCTACGTACACATTGCCACATAAAAAACTCTAATTTAAAGATAGGCTATTTAGTCTAAAAATGCTACAGTCAGGCTTAATAAAAGACACCTAAAATTTGTATGTATGTGAATACACAAAATGAAATAAAATTATGAACTCCTCACTAATCAGTCAACAATTCTACCACTATTAGCATTTTAAAATGCGTCCTAATAATAGGTAGGTAGGTACCACTTTATTGATCCCACAATGGGGAAATTCCTGTGTAGTAGTAATACCCATTCAGAATATATAACAGGATCATGATTCAAACAGGAAACAATGAACATATAGTAACAAGTATCTGTAATCAGGCATTTAACTGTGAAACAGTTTTAAAAATAAAATATATATTATCTTAATCCAGAGCTGATTGTTCTTTTGTCAATTTTAAAGTTGTTGTAATGTCTGTTCTTGTTCTGTAGGTGGTGTTAGCTGATAGTTGGTGTTTGCATCTCGTAGGAAGTTCCAACACCAAGGCCATCAAGTTGTGAGTAGGACCCCAAGTGCATTTTCCTTTCTTCTTCCAGTCTTCTACAGCACACAAGTTCTCAGGCCGACCTGACCTCACATACTCGCACAAGTTTTGCAACTTTTTTATGTTCATATATCACTCCTGCCTCAAGTTAGAGGTCATGATCAGTCCGAGAACAGCTGGCAGGAATTCAATGTTTTATGGGTGGACGCATATATACAAACAAGTACTGCGACTTTTACAGTGGCTCTTTCAAATAATCACCTGCAGTTAGGTATTTCAGGAGCGCGCGCACACACCATCTTCTTCAGGAACATAAAAATTCTTCATTTTCAGTGCATATCTTAATCACACTCCAGGGCAAAATTCAGACAATGTTCTTTAATAGTGATTTATCTCATATTGTAACAGTCTTACTCTTGGGATTCATACCCAGCACATAGTGAAATTATGTTTCATATACATCTCACCAAAAGAGAGAGATAAATAATCTTTGTGAAGATGGGGCAGAATCATTTTGTTACTTGTCTTGTCAGCAATCTTTGTGTATTTTTGGTTCATGTTATTTGGTCCAGATTCAAAGATTCCTCTGTGTACTGAGCTAAACATTGCAGCTTCATCTGTGAAATCACTTGCAACTGAATTATGAGATTTGTCTCCTGGTACATCTGCACATTTATCAGTGAAAATACATTTATGAAAATCAGGCTCCCTGCAGTAATACAATGAAAGCAGACTGAGGGAGCACAATAATCAGTCACCCAATGGTGTCATTTGTGTGGGGATTCATTGCTCACACAGAAGAGCATACAGCAGAGCAAGAGAAGCCATAGAGTGACAAAAAAGGAAAAAGTTGAAATATTTACTGCCTTGTATCAAACTGTCACCCTTTCAGAACATTTTTAAACTGGTTTCTTGGCTTTTTATGATGCGACATCTCAACAGCTGCTACATGGATTGGTGCAAAGTTTTGTGCAGGCATTTCAGAGGATGAATTCGAAAGTCTTTGGCAGTCCCCAGATTTGGATAGATTGCTATGAAATTTTTACAAACATTCATGTCACTCTTAGGATGAATTCTAATAACGTTGGTAACCCTCTGCCCTTTTGTTTACCACCTTAATTTGGTCAAAATTTTAATTTGTTGAGGACTTTTGTTTGTGGCTGAAAAACAGGACATTCCCATCAGCCTCAGTTGTACTTTGTGTTTCCTGATAATTATCAAATGTTAGCCTACTATAATGGTACACTAAAGTTGTTAACATGGTTAATGTTATACCTGCTAAACATTAGCATATTAACATTGCCACTGTTAGCAAGCTGACATTAGCATGTAGCCCAAAGCACTGCTATAACTAAGTACAGCCTCACAAAGTTGCTAGTCTCTGTCATCTTTTTACGTAACTGTTAGATAATATATCTTAGAAAGAAAACCAAGACGTTCATCTATTTATCATTACAGAAACTGAATCCCTAAAATGGTCAGTGCTAGAAAAAAAAACCCGCATGAGTAAGAAGAGTGACAAGTAGCTCTAGTCTCCACGTTAAAATGAGATCATATAGAGTACCATGATGGCAGAGTGGAGAGTGTGTGGGAGGTAGCGTGGAGTGTGTCTGTGTGGGCAGAGTGGGGTAGACCTGCATGGAGAGCACTCCAGCTTTGTTTTGTCATTACCACAGTGAGATTACCTAAGCACATTTCCAGGAATGCAGATGGGATATGATGACCTCTCAGATCTGGTCGGTCAGAATAGATGGAGACACATTTGTCAAACAAAGGACTTGCTTGTTGTGCTGCCCTTTGTTTAGGTTGCACTTGTGTCAGTCTTTACTCTAAGTTGGACTATGTTCATGATCTAAAAAGATTCCCAAGTTAGATTTGGTTATATTTGATATACTGTGAGACAATTACAATTTCTCAACAATTATAGATGTTGCTGTAACACTGTAGTGTTGTCTATAATATCTCCAGTTGTATTAGACCATTATAGGCCATGTTGAAATTCGGTGAGCAGGACTGATCAGTGACAAAATGGCATTATTTTTGTGTCATTATTGTATCCAACTGTTTTTCTATTGATTATCCTGAAAATGTACTATAACAGGATATGTATTAATATAGCAGTTTCAAAGTAAATATGCCTAGAGATAGAGGGTTCTCTACATCTTGCCTTTTACAATTAAAATTCACTCCACTCCAAGTAACTCCGTAGTACGTACTACCAAAAGTATGTGGGTTTAAATGTGTATAAAACTTTTTTTTTTAATCAACAACAAAACATGCACACAAATCCCAAAAATCACAATAATATCCTGTGTTATGCTACATACTTTTGACTTTCAACTTAGCACTGGGCTTTATCCAAATGACCTCTATGAACTTCCCAAAACTTACAGGTGACCAGAGGATTCATACAGTCGTTAATGGCTTTTTGAGGAAGGTATTCAGGTTCCTCTAGTATGGTTTCTTTCTTCTAAAAGCATACTTGGATTTTCTTATGTTCTTTTGCTTCTCTGTTCTACTTAACTGTTGTCCTTGTTTATAGTGATGTTCACATCTGAGCTTGTTGTTGTGAAATCCCTCTATGACTCATCTGTATGCCTAATTTACAAGTGTGAGTCCAACAAATAAAGTCAACCTTTGATACATTTCTAATCCAAGCTGTCCCTTATGAGGCATTTTTCCTAGATGTTGTGTTTTATCTGTCGGCCTCTCTGTTCCCAGTAGTCCTCGTTGGGTCTGATATAGCACATGTTATTAAACTAGGACACAAATCTGCCTAGAAACTCAAAGGAAAGAAGAATAATGTGGGTAGCACTTTATTAAAAATGCAACATTTTTAAAGTTGTTTTTTTAAAACTTCCTGGAGAGTCAGTACACATTTGTGTGATCTGAGTTATAGGGTGAACTCACTGCCTTCCCAGTGATTGCATGTGTGATAGCCACCTGCCATGACTGAGTTAACATGTTTATAGGCCTCGGGGCAAACCATTGCAAATGGGCTCCTATTGCTACCTTCCACTCTCTATATTGTATACTGTATTTACCCTGTCACCTCCAAGTTCTCAATAAATCACTTTATAAAAAAGCTCAGGCAAACAACTGTGAAACTTTACAAGAATAGTAGGTCCAGCTTTCCCTTCACCAGACATGCCACGTCACAAAAAAACTCCTTTAAAATGCCTATTAGTGTTTCTCGTCAAAAAGAATGGGATGGATAATGATGGCAGAAAGGCACCAAGCAACAGTTGCTCAGTGCCAGTAGAATACAATGCAACAAAAATGCAGAGAAAAAGACAAGATGTACTGTGCAGACAGGCTTATAGTGCAGCTTATGCAAGAGTCCATGGCAGTGCAGTACTCTAATAACTAGGCAGAATATCAACCAGGCAAAGTAAACAATTGCTTTGTATGGGACCCAGACCTTCAGAGACTCCAAGGGCCATTGTTTAGCAATTACATTTATGGTAATTTGTATAATTTAAACTGTGTTAGGGAATATGCATCTCTAAAGCACATCATAAACTAAACTAGCAAGGGTACTATAGCCTATTTATCCAGCATTTTCACCTGATCTTGACACCCTGCCCTGAAGGGCCCTTTGTCAAAAACCATGTTGTATTAGACTACCTTTAGTATATGAGATGAAATTCATTTTTTACATGTTGCATAAAATTTTGTAAGTTAAATTTGCAAAAACTGCAGAGCTGGAATATGACACAGGTCATTTTGCCCCTGGGCCCTCTGATGCTTTATAGCTGCCTGATCATTTACCTGCATATACTGAGTATATCTAGAGTATAGGGTAGGATATCACAGTGCATCTTGAAGCCAATGTCACAGTTTTTAGATGTCTCATGACCGACTTATGTTCATGTGTCCCTATATATCCCTGTGGGCTTACATTGCCTACTTTACATATGCAAATCCGTGGACATTTCAGCAGGGTATGATAATAATAATACGCATCTCATAACATTTTTCTCTCTGACAACCTTCACAGGCCTTAACGGTTGGTTGTTCGCTGCTGACAGGGCTGTGGTGATTACAGACGTGAAAAACAAATGGCCTAGCGGGCTCCCTTATGGAAAGCAGGCAGGACACAGTGAGTCTACAGTGACATTTTCCCCACATGCAAAATCATGCAAAAGGTAAATACTGAGGCGGAGGGATACAAACACTATTGCAGAACATGGCCGTCATCTCCGTCATGTCCTCTCTCGCAGACATGCCCACTTCGGCTACACCGCATTCTGATTGGACGAGACGTTCGCACGTCAGCTTCTTATTGGATTTTCGACGGGTCAATCACAGGCTAATGTCAATGACGTTGATCGTACGCTGGTACACTGTATCGCCTGGGTTGACAGTATAGTTACTTCAACATTATGGATTAAAATGCCGCGGATTAATGTAAATAGAGACGTCGCTTCATTGTAATTAATTAATGCCTCTTAATTAGACGGGTCACCTCTGGAGTGGGTGGTGGCAGGCATATTTTCGGTTTTCATCAGCAATATTTCAGGGTAAGTGGAGTGATACATTTCCTTCCTGCGTTTTTTTTTCTCACAAGAGCAGACTTACTTGCTTTATTATTTGTTTTAAAAATAGCAAAGAAGATCAACACTGCGCTTGTTTATATTTCACAGAAGAACCGTCTGAATTTGAATACAAAATGTCCCTAATGTGATAGTGCGTGCCCTAGCTCGCACAGCCGAGTTAAATGGAGAGTGTAAGGAAGGTAATGGCTGTCCGTCGGACTCGTAACAAGAATTGTGAAATGGCCTGGTTGGAGTAGCTCGTCCTCTGCTCTGTAAATCAGCCCGGGTTATGGTGTCTGAAAGGAGTGCATTTGTATTTGTAAAATCAGGGAACAAGATGTGATACCAGTCGTAGCTTCCAACCTGTCATATTAGACCCTGTAGGGTACCTGTCTGTCGTCAGTGGGCCTAGTCAGTCTTCATCTGTCATAATGTTGAGAGGATGCAGCTACGAGTCCAGCTCCCAGTCTGTTAAAAAAATCTCGTTTTAATTTCATGTGGACTCAACATAGCCAGACTCAGCGTGGTCAGTAGCGTAATGGCATTAAGAAGAAAACAGACAGAGCTATTATATAGCTGTGTATGCAAGAGCCTCATTTTTTTTCTTAAATATTTCTTTCACTGGTTTAAGCTTGTGTTTGTGTGGTGACTTGATGTGATTTTAATGTTGGAGTAGCTTAGGTTATCTACGGAAGATTTAGAAAAGTAATAATGCTAATGTTAGATGTTAAGCTGTGACAGGCAAAGGACATTTGCATGGGCATATTTATTGTAAGTCTAGTTGTATTTTTGAACATATAACTTAACATAAGAGCAACCCTAGCCAGGCTCAGACAAACTGGGGCACTGATTATGGTTTAACTTGGGGCTGTATGTATTAAATATGCTGTCCCTATAGCGAAGGTATTGGGCTAGAAGTAGGGCAGTTTGACAAAATGATGCAATGTGTGCCATCCCTGCAGATTACCAACATCTGCAGGTAGTACAGTCCACAGATGACACATTTCACCAATCAGAATTCTACCACCAGCATGGTTTTTGGAATGTGTAATATGTTTTGGGTTTAGTACAAAATCATTGTTTTTAAAAGTTATGCTGTCCCAAAATTTAATCTTACTGTTTGAAATGCAGAAGTAGTATTTCTCTACTGGTCCCACAGCAGGATCAACATATCAGCTGCCCATAACCTTCCTATCATCAACAAAACAGGTTTATCAAAATGCCAAAAATAATAGTGTTACTGAAATGTTCAGTTCCTATGGGTAGCACTTGAACAGTTGTGGCTGTGAATGGTTGCCAAGATAAACAATATTATGCTGAGGGTTCCTTAAAGTTCACAGCAACAATTCCTTCAAACAGTTTTCAGATTTTTAATTGTTACCATCATCAGCAATATGAGAATTTACACTTTTGTCTCTCAGGTCACGTAAAACCAGCTTACACAACAAATCAAGCAATTGATATTTGTTGATTTAGCATGAATGTGTTATTAAAGCAACATGCATATTGCGTTAAAAAAAAACTATTCATCCATCAGTTTTTTTCTGCTTTCCAAGGCCGGTCCATGGTGGCAGCAGGTTTAGCAGGGTAGTCCAGATGTCCGCCTCCCCAGCAGTGATTTCCAGCTCCTCCTGTGGCACCCGTAGGTGTTCCCAGGCCACGCTGTGGGCTCACCACCTGCATAGGAATTGGGGTTGTGTACAGTGTAAGCAAGGCTGGGGACCTGTGCTTGCTGATCCCTGACATGGTAGATTTTCCAAATAATTGAAGATTTTCCAACTAACTGAAAGAAAATCAAAGAGACCAGAATAGATAACATTTTTAAAATTATTAAAACTGACATACAACTATATACTGAAAGGAAACAAAATTGTATTCCAATATGATGGCATGTAACCTCTCATGGATTTATTAGGATGGCTAGATTCACTTTCCTTATATCTGTTCTGATTTTCTTAAATGGAGGTACAGTATGTCCTCGGTGCTTTTGTTGGTACAGAGCCACAAGTTTAGAAAGGGGTTTACCACAGACCTGTTTTCTAGTGGTAATTTTATAGCAAGACACGAGAGAAGGGTTAAATAAAACATGAAGAATATATTGCTACAGATATTGTTTAGCTGTCATGTTTGAGCTAGTCCTCTTGAAATGTGTCCCCCTCAAATTTTGTATATAGCAACCTATTTCATTAAATACTTGTTGATTGACAGAACATTAATCACAAACTGTTTCTGATAATCTGTCATATTAGTCTTTTTTTTTCAAAATAGCAAACATCTGAGTTCAGCTACTCAAATATAATGATTTTCTTTTATAATTTATTGGACTTCTTTGGACCTTGGATTCTGCAAAGTCATAATGAAAAATTTTCACTATTTTATAGACAAAACTGTTGAGATATTAATCAGTATATTAATAGATAATGAAAATAACAGTAGTTACAGCCCTAACGGTGTGTAGCTCTTGTAGGCAACATGAATATATTAAGTTTTCATCACTTTTTTTATTTTAATATTGTTGTCAGATGTAAGGCTGATACAGAGTCACAAGACTATGTGAGTGCAAATCCTGTCCATTTTAGAGAGCACAGACTGAGCCATTAAGACCATCCTAAACCCTTGTCTCAGAGCTGTGGATGGGCTAACCCCACTGCAAGTCATGTTTGAGGTGCCGACCATTTATCTCAAGGCTTTGGCACATTTCATTGGCCAGGGCATAATCCGCTAAAGGTCACTGCCACTAATTACACTACTCCAAAACAGATGGATGCCTACCCTGAGCTTCATTGCACTCTACTTCATCAGAAGAATATTCAAGGGTTACATAACCATCACTTGGAGGAGCTGAATAACACATGCATAGCTCAGTTTTTACTGGAGTGACCGAATGCCTGTCCCCTTAAGACAATGAGGCAGACCTGGTCCAGTTGAATCATTCATTTATGAGCATTATGCTCTTTTATCTAGTCTCTTCAGATACATCTTCAGGTTGACTTTTAAAATTGATGTGTTTTGGCCTCCTGTATGTCGCAGTGCAAGTTTGGTTTGGCTGTATTCAGGACTTTTCGGCAAGCGGCGACCTCATTATGTTGGCGTCCACCCAGTCCTCAGGCCTGCTCCTAATTGAGCCATCAGCGCCTTAAGGGGGAAGAGGAGGGAGGAAAGTGTCAATTACAGTAATGAAGGGCAGCCATGCAGAGGGCAGTCAGGGAGAGGGAGGCTAGACAGAAGCCTTGCAGTATAGCCCCATTCTGGTCAATTCACAGCTAGTAGAGTTAGTAAAGTCCATAGGGAAGAGCATTTTAATCATTTTCCCCTCAAGCAGAGGGAAATGTCTTGTGGTAATTGTTTATAGATGGTGCCTTACAGTTGCAGCTCATGAATGATCTATGGCCATGCACAGCAGTGCTGTGAACACAGATTTAATTTATGAAAAGTTTTCACCTTGGCACAGGACAAACTACATCATGGAGTATGATGTTAGCTTTGTATGGTATCCAAATGATGCTGTTATATCCAAATGTTAATGCTGATGTATGTAAGTGTAGTACCAGCTTCTCAAATGAGAGGATTTCAGATCTCTTGTTACTGTAAATTAAATACACTTGGATTTTGACAAAAGATATTATACTGGGCTCTGGGTAATTGTAATGATTTTTTTGTCAGTATCTTGACTTAAAATGAATTGTTTGGTTTGTGAAATATGAAAAAACACCGGTCATATCATTTTGCAATGACATCTTCAGACATCTTGTTTAGACTGACGCATTGTCCAAAACCCCAAAGTTCTTCAGTATACACATATTTGTGACAAAGAAAAACAGCAACTCCTGGCAAGTCCTTTGAGAAACTGGAACCTGAGAATGTGTAGCATCTTTTGACTATTTTTGCTTGAAAAATTACTGGGTTATTCAATTATCAAAATATTTGACCCCCCCCCCGTCAGTCATTGACTTGCCCGATTGTTTTAGCCTTATTGTCACAATAACCTGTGATGCCTCAGACTGAGCCAGAGTCAATTTAACAGCTTAACACCAAATGTTGCACATGAGAGTGTGATTAAAAATAGAGATGCACCAGTCCACGGTTTTTTACCTCGTGATACTATTTCTCATATCTCAACTCAAACCAATACTGTGTAGTGATCTGATGCCAGTGCTCTTACTAAATAGAAGTCAGGTAACAGAGGTCAGGGATTATTGTGGCGCTAAATACTGCAATGGCAGCCTGCTGTGACTGAACAAACGGTGAAAAAACTGAATTTTATTTTAACAACTTTGACAAAAAAAAACAACATAGTTATAGATAGGTTACCTCATGGCTGACACCTGATCTACTTAGTAATTGGATTGTTGATGCTGATAACAGCAAATTGAATCAGTGTATCAAGTGTGAAAACTAGTCAGCAAGCAAGCAGAAACATCCAAATTCCTATTAAAAATAAGGGATAAATGGGTGAGAAAACCCAGCTGCTGCCATTCAAAAGCAAACTTAACCTAACATATAAAAAAAAAAAAAGAGACCAAAGCCAAACATTTACCATTACAGGACAATTACATTGTGTATGAATTCATTTATTCAGCCATATATCCATCCCAGACACCATTATGTGGTAAATTAATAGAGAGCATTTCTAAAACAGCCAATTCCATTTTTTTCAAAGACGTACTTGACCCAATCTGATAGCACTGTAAGAGTACGTTGGACGAGAAAGATTAGAAACCACTGTGCTAGTGCACAGTCTGGTGTTAAGCTGCAATAGTTTTGGAGTTACATGTCACTGCTGATGTGACGCATGGCTCTGATGAATGACACTGAGACTTTCAGGGTTGAACCTAATGTGCTGGATTTTATTACAACTTGTGATTAATAATCAAGCTAGCCACTCTCAAGTGCTCAAATGTGGTTTGTGGAGGCCCCATGTGCACTCCAGCGGCGTCTTCATTTTTTCCGTCTGGCCTAACAACAATCCCACAGGAAAGCGT